CAGTCCTTGACGTGGCTCTTCCGGCTCCAGAGCTTACAGCCAACCTTGTGTTTCCTGGCCAGCCCTGGTATTTGCTTGGCCAAGGAGGAGCCCCAGCACCCGTGCCCCAGGGCAGGCGGGTAGAGGAGGAGCCCCAGCACCCATACCCCAGGGCAGGCAGGTAAAGGAGGATCCCCAACACCCTTGCCCCAGGGCAGGCAGGTGGAGGAGGATCCCCAGCACCCATACCCCAGGGCAGGCGGGTAGAGGAAGATCCCCAGCACCCGTACCCCAGGGCAGGCGGGTGGAGGAGGATCCCCAACCCCCGTGCCCCAGGGCAAGTGGGTGGGCTGCTCGAGGCCCTGTGCCGGGTCTGTAAGGGCTGTGCAGGGAGTGACGCCTGCCAGCTTTGTGCCTTCGAGGCTGATGAGTGTGGGGAATTTTGTGTTGTTTTGTGGAATGGAAACAAATCCAGCTGGTTGAAGGTGAAATCCCCTCCTTGCTCCCCCAGCAGCGCACCTTTCTCCCCAGAGGGATGGTCCTCCCCTTCCCGGCACAGGAGATGGAGAGAATGGGGTCTCCAGGGGAGGGTGTGCATGGCCGCAGTTCAGGGGGCCAGTGGGCCAGTGGGGCTGGGGTGCAAGCCCCAGTGGGAGCCCACGTGGGAGGGGCCCGGTGCGCAGCGAGCCCTCATGTCTGCCGTGCTCACTTTTGCCATCTTCACGCACATGCGCGTGTTCCAACAAAGCATCACAAAGTGTATCACAGGCCTCTCGGCCGCGCCCCTAAGGGACACAAGGCATCCTAAACATGCACCACCGTTTCCTGGTGTCACCTGACATCCGCCCTGTTCAGATCTCCCCACTTGTCCCCACATGTCTCCACGAAGCCTGTGCTGCTTCCATGCACAGGGCGCTGATGTCTCTGGGTGTGTTGTACTGGAGCAGAGCCTGCTCTCGTGTCTCCGGGGGCAGAACTTTCTTCCCCTTTCCTTCTTGCCGCCCTCCGCCCACCTCTCTCTCTCTCTGCAGGGGGTGGTGATGGTAGCAGCCTCACTGAGCTGGATTCACACCTATGCTTTGCCCACCTAGCGCCTCCGGTTCCATGGCCTCTAGTGCATTCCCAGAGTCATGTGGCTCTCACCACAGTCAGGTTCAGAACATTTCCATCGCCCCATAAGGAAACCCCAGTCCTCGGCCTGGGCTACACTCCGCTCCGAGGCCTCCTGTGTCTGGTTCCCTCCCCGAGTGTCGTGGGCTCAGGGTCCATCTCCGGGGCAGCATGTGTGGCCACCTCGCTCCTGTTGGAGGCCGAGGGACACTTCTGTGTGACACACTGTGTGCATCTGATCATCGATGGACACTTGGGTTTTTTCCACCTTTTTGGCCATGTGGGTAATGCTGCTGTGAACACGGATGCATGTTTTCATTCCTCTCGGGGATATTTCTGTGAGTGGAAGTGCTGGGTCATCTGGTAATTTTATGTGTAACTTTTTTTTTTATTTTAAGATTTCATTTATTTATTCATGAGACAGAGAGAGAGGCAGAGACACAGGCAGAGGGAGAAGCAGCCTCCCTGCAGGGAGCCCAACGCGGGACTCGATCCTGGGTCTCCAGGATCTTGCCCTGGGCTGAAGGCAGGCGCCAAACCACTGAGCCACCCGGGCTGCCCACTATGTGTAACTTTTTGAGGAACCCCCAGACTCTTTCCCTCAGCAGCCGCCTCACTTTCCATCCCCCCATCTCCCCCTGGGGTGTCAGGGTTCTAATTTCTCCACATCCTCACCAACACTGGTCGCTGTCTTTGATTACGGTCGTCCTGGTGGGGTGAAGTGTCTCTCATCATGGCTCTGGTTTGCGTGTCCCTGATGGCTCATCGTTCCATGTGCTTATTGGCCGTATGTGTATTTTCTTTGGAGAAATGTCTGTTTAGTCCTTTGCCCACTTTTTAACTGGGATGTTTATCTTTGTATTATTACATTGTGAGTGTGCCCGCTTTTCGACACAGCACAGACCTGTGAAGAACACCCTGGTCTTTCTGGGCTGGCCTGCACATTCCCTTGGCAGCGGGGGGGGGGGGGGGGGCGGCGCTCTTGCTTGGTCCTCTGCCCCCACCGTGTTGCCAGTAAATTGGGAGGTTGGCCCAGGGCTGCTGTTCAGTGAGATTCCTTTTTCATTTCTTAAGTATGTACACGTATGATTTTTATTTGCCTTCCTTCAAAAGACGTGTCAAGGGTATGGAGTGTTGGGATTATAAACCATTTTAATTTTCTTCTTTATATTTACCTACTCAAAACCTTCATTTCAAAAGGCACAAATAAGACAGGAAAAATCATACATAATCCGCCGCCGAGCTGAATCTAGATGATGCTGGTGGTTGGAGTAGAGAAAGCGTGTCTGGCCGGCCGCGCGTGTGCAAAAAACCCACCTGCTGTCTTATCATCTGCTTTTTCCACCTCCTAGATGAAAGCTCATCTCTGCATCGTGAGTTTTGATGTGTGAGGGAGCTCGTGTGGGCAGCACCCTGGGCTGTCCCAGCTCTGCCTGGGACAAGCTGGTCCTGGGGAGCTGGCGGGCGTACCGCATAATGCCACCTCTCACCATTGTTCCTGGGCGGCGGACAGGCCAGAGGCGGCCCCCCCTCGGAGCAACGCAGCCTGTCTTGAGGCTCTCCGAGGAGCCCGTGCGCCCTCCCCCATAGGCTACCGCGAGCTAGCCTGGGAGGAGAAGCAGCCAGCCGGCCGGGACCAGCCAAGTGAAGGATGGGAGCTGCTGGGCGTGGGGACCAGGCCCTGCCATCTACCTGCGTGTGGCCTGGGCACACGATTTCCCCCGTAGCCTGAGCGAGCTACGCACAACGAGCTTATTACCACATGGAGTGGACAAGTCACCGCATCAGTCACCTCCAACAGGGCTGGGGACTGTTGAGTGCTGATGCGCCCGCCGCTACCCAGCCTGGGCACTGTCCACGGCAGGCTGAGGGCTTAGGACCAGGGGCAGCCCCTCCCTGCTTGGGGTGGGCCACCCACTGCCTCACCGGGTCCCCTTATTAACTCCCGGGCTTAGGACCAGAGGCCGCCCCCAGGGTGATCATGTCCAGCCACAGACGGGGTTGCTCATCCACAAAGGATCGGTGGTCAGTGTGATCCATCCCCTCAGGGCTCACTACACTGTGCGGTGGGTATGGAAAATTCTGGGCGGGGTGTGGGAGCAGGGCGGTGGGAGGCTGGTGGGGGTGGCGGGGTGTGGGGGGCTAGCAGGAGTGTAGGCTGGCCTGTAGGCTGAGGGCAGAGGAAGGCCTATGAGCCCCAACTGCGGCTTGTCCTCCCCAAGTTGGAGCCGGTATCTCATGTCTCATCTGAGGTCCCTGCCTGGGGAAGTCTCCCCACCACCCTGCCCTTTTGTCGGCTCCCTCCACAACTGACAGCCCAGCTCAGTCCACACTAACGTTGCAGGAGAGTCAGAGTCAAGGCCATCCCCCCGCCCCGGCCATGAGCTCCCCAGGACAGACCCCCAGTGTCCTGTTGCCAGCCACAGAGCCAATAAGTGAGTCCCACGTGGTGGCATCTGGGCTGGAGGGGAGAGGGCAGGTGTGTTGGGGGCTTGGGCGGGGATGCGGGTCCTGGGGCCTGGCTGCAGGGGGCTGGGTTGGGATGGCGTGGTGGTCACTCCCAGGGGCTGGTCCGGCCTCCGCTGGGACAGCCTCCGGGTGGGCAGCCTGGCTGTGGCCCGGCTCCTGTGGTGCCTGCTGCTTTGGAGGGAGGTTTGTGACAACCCCCTTCTCTTTATGAAGCTGTGTTTTCCTTCGGGTTCCCTGTGATCCACCCGGAGCTGCTGTCACACACTGTCACGGGCCTTTGTGGCCTGCCACGCACATTCCGGCTTTGTGGCTACCCCTCAAGGAGAAGCCTTGGGACTGCTGTGCACACGGGGCAGAGGGCCACGGTGGGGTCCCAGCCCAGGACAGTGAGGACTCCCCGTGTCAGGACCCGCAGGGGCCCTCACCGGCGGGCAGTCTGCCATCAGCGCATGGCCTTGGCGCTGTCCCCCTGGTTCCTGCCCCGCCACCCCAGGCGGGGATGGGGTGCTGAGGGCAGGGCCTGGCAGGGGTACCTGGGGCTCCCAGAACCTGCCCGGCAGACAGTGCCGGCCTTAGCGCGATTCCCGGGCTCCTGCTGCCCTCTAGCGCCCGCCCGGGGGAGTGCCTCCGGGGAGGCTGCGGCTGTGGGGGACCGGAAGCCCCGTCCGGGACGGTGGACTGCCTGCCCCTTTCTCTTTGCCCAGCTTACTTGACGGCTGCCTGTCTTCCAGGTTGTCAGGTCTGTATGCACTTGGGTTCTGACCTTTTCCAAATTGTGGAGGAGGAGTCTGGCCATCTTCAGTTTTGGAGAATTTAATCTGACCATAGGGACACTGCCCCGGAGTCGGTCCCCAAGTCCCTCCTTGCTTGGGGTGGGCCACCGACTGCCTCACCGGGTCCCCTTATTAACTCCCGGAACAGGAGGGGGCCGCTCCAGCGTTCAGGTGTGTCCGGGCTCCGCCGGCAGCAGCCAGGCCAGGGCCCGGGGCAGGGTTCCCCTGCTGCTCGGGGGCCCGCACCGCGCAAGACGCCCTCACACGCAGCGTCACTCACCTTCGGAAGGCGGCCACGGGCTGCTGTCGGTGTGGGTATCCGGCTCCGAAGTAGACGCATCGGGTAGAAGCTGATGCCGGCGAACCTAGATAAAAAGTCCCCGATAAGGAAAGCTTTTATTTCTCAGGGCCCCTGGTTTGAAATTAGTGCTCCGGCTTCCAGTATTGCGTTGGCTCGGAGAACTAGGGCGCCTCTGTTTTTAATTAGTTGCAGTCATTTCGGTTTTTTGTGCCAGTGGGGAGAGATGGAGTCTGCTCCCAGGCTCCTCTCCGGCCCCAGCTTCACTGCGCGGCCCCCTGCCTTTGTCTTCCCGAGGCCCGGGTATTTTTAGCGTGTCCGGGACGGTGGCGACACTGACGCGCTCACGCTCTCTTGTCCTCCCCTCGCAGGTGTGACAGCCTCTCCGCGGCAGCCATGGGGTCTGAGGATCATGGGGCTCAGAACCCGAGCTGTAAAATCATGACGTTTCGCCCAACCATGGAGGAATTTAAGGACTTCAACAAATACGTGGCCTACATCGAGTCCCAGGGAGCCCACCGGGCGGGCCTGGCCAAGGTGGGTGATGCCCTGGGCCCAGCGCCGCTTTCCACCGGCTCGGCCCCCTTGGGCCCCAGGACCCCGGGCCTGGTGTGGCAGTGTCTGAAGGCGGGCCCACGACTGTGTCCACGGAGCTGCTCTGATGTCATTGACATCACACGTTACGGAGTTCTTCCCGTGTGCCGCGCTCTGTCGTAGGCCTGGTGTGCAGGAATGAGTCGATGGCCGGGGCCAGGCCCTGGGGGCACAGGTGCCTAGGGCATCGTGGCAGCGGGAGGGTGTTGGGAGTCGGGGGGAAGGCTTCTGGGGAGACGGGTCACTGTGAACTGGGTCTCCTTCCGTGGCATGTCACTTCTGTGCACAGACATGTGTGCGTGTGGTGACAGCAAACAGACAAGCACAGCCCGTGTTGCTTTTACTGTAAACGGGAAGCTGCGTGAGGACCCTGGTCGCCCGATTGTTTGGAAGGCTGGTTACCTGCTTGTCCTGAGTTCTCGGGGCTGCCTGTGTGCCCGTCTTGTTACCTAAGGTGCCTGGTTCTCTGTTCTTTTTTTTTTAAATTTACTTTTTTAAAGATTTTATTTATTTATTCACTAGAGACACACAGAGAGAGGCAGAGACACAGGCAGAGGGAGAAGGAGGCTCCCCGTGGGGAACCCGACGTGGGACTCCATCCTGGGTCTGTCTCCAGGATCGCGCCCTGGGCTGAAGGCGGTGCTAAACCGCTGGGCCACTGGGGCTGCCCAGTTCTCTGTTCTTTAAACCGAGGGGTCGCTGAACTCTTTCCACCAAGAGCTGGATAGTAAGGGTTTTTGGCTTTGCGGACAGGGTGGTCTCTGTCCCACCACTCAGCTCTGTCACCCACGACACCCTTGAGCCAGTGGGCATGGCCGCATGCCAGTACACACGCTGAACTGTGCATTTCCTGGGACTCTCACTGGTCCCAAAACATTCTTCTTTTGTTATTTTTTCCCTAACCATATTTGAAAATGAAAAAAAAAAACACAACACCCCACGTTCTTGGCTCGAGGGCCGCACAAAAGCAGGCTGCGGGCGGGACTTGGCCCCGGGCTGAGTTTGCTGCTGCCTGATGGTGGTGGGGAGGGGCGTGTCCTGCCTTCCTGCCCCTACCTGGTGTGGGTGGTTTTGTTAGGAGCATCAGAGGCCCTGGCTGTCCCTGCCCAGGCTGTGGTCACGCCTGTGAACTCACCCTAAGGACACTCTGTGGGCAGGCCACTTGCTGCCTCTGCTTCCCGCCGCTCCCTCCTGGTTTTGTTCACGCACACGCGCTGGCACAGACAGACACAGTCCTGCTCTGCGGACAGTCAGGAACCAGAGCCCCCATCGTCCTGTTAGCTTTGCTGCTTCCTTTATTTATTTTTAAAGATTTTATTTATTTATTTCAGGGAGAGTGTGCGCGTGTGTGTGCTTGCACAAGTGGCAGGAGATCCAGAGGGAGAGGCACAGGGAGAAGCAGACTTTCCACTGAGCAGAGGGCCTGATGTGAGGCTCAATCCCAGGACCCGGGGGTCACGCCCTAAGCTCAACCTCTGAGCCCCCAGGCGTCCCTGTTTCTCCCTTTAAACTCCTTCAGCTGGGGGATGCCCGGGTGGCTCAGCAGTTGGGCATCTGCCTTCGGCCCAGGGTCTGATCCTGGAGACCTGGGATTGAGTCTCACGTCGGGCTCCCTGCATGGAGCCTGCTGTCCCTCTGCCTGTGTCTCTGCCTCTCTCATGAGTAAATAAATACAATCTTTAAACAAACAACAACAAAAAAAACCCTCTGAGTTTTCTGTCCGGCTGGCTAACGGTCCTGCGTCCATTGTTGGGGGACAGTTTCCTGCCTGTTCCGCCCCATTGAGGGTCCCTGCTGTGGGGGGTCCCCGGTGCTCTGGGGGGCCTCCTCTGCCTTGTCTCATGTCGTTGGCCTGCTTCTGCTTTGCCTGGGGCGCAGCCGCCCTTCTGTTTCTGGTTCGGGTTGTCCCTGGTGCTGGGAGGTGTCGCGAGGTGCTGTCCTGCTCGGCTCTGCCTGGGGTGGCCTGAGGCCCCGCGGCTCTTATCCCCCCCTCGGCCCTCTGTCTCACTGTCTGAGGCTCCACTCTCCTGGCTGGCCCCCAGCCCTGGCTGGTTCTGGAGCTTTCTGTTCGCGGTGCTGTGGTGGCCACGGGCTCCGTGTCCACGTGAGCCGGTCCCCCAGGCCTCTGCCTGCCTCTGCTCCTCCAGGCTCGTCTCCTCCTCGGCCTCTGTGCTTCTCCGTTGAGCCCCAGCATTCCTGCTCGGAGCTCTCACACCAGTGGAGTCATTTTTTGCTGATTTATTTGTATCGAAGGAAACTGGGCTGGACGTTTCCTGAGGCAGGAGTTTCCTGGGTCTGTTTTTCCTCCGCCTTTTGTTCTGTGTGCTCCTTTTCAGCTTTTTTTTCCCCTAAAGATGTTGTTTTATTTTTTATATTTTGTTTATTTATTTGAGATACAGAGTGAGCGAGAGAGAGCATGAGCACGGTGGGGCAGGGAGAGGGAGAGGGAGATGGAGACTCCCCCTGAGCAGGGAGCCCGATGGGGGGGCTCCATCCCAGGCCCCCGAGATCATGACCTGGGCCGAAGACAGATGCTTCACTGGCTGAGCGAGCCACCCACACGCCCTCCTTTTCAGTTTCTTAAGTGGGATTTTGTTTGCTGCTTTCTGTGACTGGTGGTCTCCTGTGTGTGCAGGGAGGGAGGGGCAGCATGGGGCGGGCATGGGTTCAGTCGCACCTGCACCTCCGCACAGGCTCATAGATGTTGGCGATTGCAGACCGCCAACCACGCGTGCACACTCGTCCCTTCTCACACCTGGCAGGGCCCACGTGCTGGGACCTTAGGTCCCTGGGCAGCCTCCCTGCTGCTCCGAGGGGACAGGCGGGGCTTGGGAAGCACCGAATGAGGCCTTGGCCACCCCTGCTCCTCTCAGGGCTGCCGGCCTGTTTGGAGAAGGGACATGGTGTCCTGCTGGCTTGAGCCAGCTCTGCAGAGCCAGCCCCTCACCCTGGTCTCACTGGTCTTGACCGCCCTTCTTTGTGTGTCGAGTGCGAGGTGGTAGGGCTAGTTTCATCAGAGCTGTATTCCTCACCCCCCACCAAAGCTCTGTAGGGCCCAGTGGAATTGGGTGCGGATAGCTTTTCAGGTCCAGCCAAGAACAGGGTCCGGATCCACAAGAGGCTCCGGAGGTGGGGGAGCCCCTGTCCTTTTCCTTGACTGCTCTGTGCATGCCCCGTGCCCCCTCAGGCCCACGCCAGGCTTCCCAGGCTGCTTGGGAAGCGCTGGTGTGGTTGGGAGCCAAGGAAGGGCATGGCGTTGGGTCCCGTGGGAGGGGTCAGGGTGCTTGGGTGCATCCCTGAGGACTGTCATGTGGTGCCCTGGCTCCTCCTCCAGCCACCAGGCCCACTGCCTGCAAATGGCTTTGGGAACCAAGGTTGGAGGTGTCGGGGTAGGAGCTGCTCAGCCACCCGGAGCCACCTGCCTGGTGCCACCTCCTTCACCCGGGGAGTGTGGCCTTTCTCTCCCTCTCAGCCTTGGCTGAGGCTTGCCCTCTGGGAGCTTCGAAGGAGGGCCAGTCCAAGGCCATGCCATGCCCACCGGGTGCCGAGTGGAGGAGTCCGGATGCTCACCTGTCTTCCGGCGATACCTGCTAGAGGTTGTTCACCCAAGAGCCTCCCTTTAGACCCTGGCCTTGCAGAGATTCCAGGGTGTCAGGCTACAGCACGCTGATTTTCCCAAGGGTTTGGGGTCCTAGACCCGCTGGAAGTGGCTCTCCATCCCGTGCCTTTTTCAGAACCTGCTTAGGGCATGCCGGAAGCTCCCTTCCTTGGTTGTCAGAGGTCTTTGTGCAGCGGGACCTGTGAGGGATGGGATAGGCGAGCAGAGAAGCCGAAGGCTCTCAGGAGGGAGCCGAAAATTTGGGAGTGATGTGTTTGGTTCATTTCACAGCCGCGGTTTCCGGACGGGCTTCCTCTGATGGGACTGGGTGGGTGAGCTCACCTGCTCCCCTGGCGAACACAGGTGGGGGCAGATCCAGAGTCCTTTTCCTGTAGGAGGAAGGGTGGGCTTGTCTGTAAAGGGGAGGTGCCGCCCACGTGGTGAGAGAGCCCTTCGGCCCACAACCCTCTCCCCTGTGAGAGCGGCTCCCAAGCTGGAGCCACAGGCCCTTTTCCTTTATATTTTTTTGCATTTCGGGTTTCGAGTGTGTTAGTTTGTCACCTGACTCTTCACATTTCTCACTTGAAATCTAAGAAAACTGCCGACTGACAGGCTGGCCCCAGCACCCCGTTGTCAGGAGGCCTCGTAGCACCCGTGGGGGCCCCATGTTGCTTATTGCAGCTATGGCCGCAGAGTAGGGAGAGGGGATGGCCCCGGAAAGAGCCTTGACTGAGCAGCCGTGTCCCCATTTAACTGAAATCAGGGTTCCCAGCCTGGGCACTGCTGACAGTGAGGCGGCTGTTTCCCTGGGGCATCCTGGGCGCCAGGGGGCCTGTGCAGTGTCCCTGGCCCCACCCACTCGGTGCCAGGAGCCCCCAGTCGTGACAGCCACAGCTGTTTCCAGACATCGCCCAGGGTCCTCTGGGTGCAGGATCACCCCGGGTGGGAGCCCTGACTTCCTCCTGTTGCCGTTGCTATCTGGTTATCTCTGTCAGTAAATCCAGGAGTGCTGCTGGTGGAGGCAGCACCTTTCTGTTTGGTAACTGACAACCAGAGACTGAGTGTTTTCGTTGCCAAGCAAAACACATTCTTGCCCCGATGGGTAGAGGGGAATCCTGGGGATGGTAAATGAATTTCAGCCATTCTGGAAGCCGCCCACAAACTCGGGCATCGGGGTGGTGTCTTCCCTCGTTGGCCCTGAGCTGGGTGAGGTCTCGGCCCCCCCCTCTTGGATGACATGCTGAAGACAGGCTGGTTTAGCTCCCCTTTCCAAAGCTGTGGAGTGGCCTCCGGGTGCCCTGGCAGGAGATCTAGTGTTTGCAGACACCTGCTGGGGACTGGGAGAGCTCAGCCCGTGGGGGTCCCCAGGGCTGTCACAGAAGCCAGCCTGGCACCTGGGAGGCCCCGGCCATGCCCAGCAGAGGAGGGGAAGCGGGAGGGCCAGAGGCCAGTTGGTAAGCTGGGCACAGACCCAGTCCCCCCCCGCCGTGCCCCCTGCAGGAGCTCTCCTGGCAAGGGGCGGGGGGGGGGGGCGGTGGTCGCCAGAGGTGGCCTTCTCAGATCTTGTCCCCTCGGCTTTGTGGCATCCTTACTCTCCTGCCTCTGGTGCTGCACCAGCCCTTCTCTGTCTTTGCACCTAGGACTTGTGCCCTGCCTGCTGTTTCCTTGCCCCTTACGGAGTCTTGGCATCTGCTCGCTCCCATGGCGGCAGCCCCTCACGGGTCTCTGTTTTCTGGTGCCCCCCACTCTGCTCCCAGCACCCAGAGCTGTGCTTGGTCCTGGTGGGTGTCTCGGCCCCCAGCCTGGCCCCGGTGGTCTCAAACCAGGCTCACAGCACTGTCTTCTGCGGTGGGGGGTGCAGCGGCAGAGTACCTGCCCAAGCAAGAGAGTGTGGGAGCCCCGTGCAGCCCACCTGTTTACTCACCTCATGATCACGCACGTGTGCATGGGGGCTGGCCCCTGGGTTCCGGGGGGGGGACCGCTCCCAGCTTTCTGATCCCATGCTGAGCTCAGAGGGCCCAACGGGGGGCAGTGCCTGTGGCCCCGCATGGGTCACCTGGGAGTTTGAGAAAGTGTGCCCTGGTGGCTCCTGGTGTTCTGCGGTGTGGGCCTGGACACAGTCCTAGGAAGCTACTGCCCGTCTCCTGGGGGAGGGCGGCGTGTCCCGTATGGGGGCGCCGCTGACTCCCCTCTCGTCTCGCAGATCATCCCCCCAAAGGAGTGGAAGCCCAGGCAGACGTACGATGACATCGACGACGTGGTCATCCCGGCCCCCATCCAGCAGGTGGTGACGGGCCAGTCAGGCCTCTTCACACAGTACAACATCCAGAAGAAGGCCATGACAGTCGGGGAGTACCGCCGCCTGGCCAACAGCGAGAAGTATGTGGCTGGGAGTGAGGCGGGGGGTGGGGGGCTCCCGAAGCCCGTCTCTGGGGTAGAAGCACACCTTGAGGGCCTCCCTGCTCCCGACGCGGCGCCCTCGGCTGCGGCTCCTGGCCCTGGGATGCAGTGGGGACTTACCCTTGTCTCCCGTCCCTGGAGTGCTTCCTGGCAGCCTCCTGTGACATCTCAGGCCCCATGGCACCTCCTTGGGGAAGGGCTCCCTGACACGTGTCCTCAGGTGATGTCCCCCGGTTCAGTGCCCCACACACATGGGCACACTCACGCACATTCCCTTGCACTCCAGTGCATTTGTGAGCACGCATGGCACACGCGCTCGGGCTCACTTGGGCACACACCTGTGCTGTTCATTCCTTGTTCCGTGTTACCCCACGCGTCCCTCACTTGCCGAAATTTGTGCCTTTCCGGCCATCCCTTCGCACTCAAGCATAAGCATCCCACCAGGCCGGGGTGTCTGCTTTCTGCCGCCCCGGCCCCTGACACCTGCCCGGCCTCTGGTGAGTGCTGTGGATTCGCAGAGCAGAGGGACGTCCTGCTGAGAACCCTCGGAACCTGCGTCCCTCCCCTGCTCCTGCTGTCCCTGGGGTGTGTTCCGACTTGGGTGCCCCAGGCCCTGGTGGCCGGCAAGATGGGACGAGTGGGTGTGCTTCCAGGGGGCTTCCTGCCCATCCCGCACCTCTTCAATCCCAAGTAAACGCTCTCCCAGTGTTCCTGTGTTCTCCGGGCTGTGCCCCAAGGTGGGGACAGAGCGGCCACGTTCACCGTGCTGTTCGTTCGCCAGGTACTGTACCCCACGGCACCAGGACTTCGATGACCTGGAGCGCAAGTATTGGAAGAACCTCACCTTCGTGTCTCCCATCTATGGGGCTGACATCAGCGGCTCTCTGTACGATGACGTGAGTACCCGGGGCCCTGAGAGGTTCTGTGGGGAGTGAGGGATGCCGTTGCCTGGGAAATGGTGGAGGGAAAGGTTTGCGAAGGGGACTTGATCTTGAACAGGGATGGTGCAGTGCCGTGGGCTCTGGTACAACCACGTGCCGAGTCCCAGGGTAAAGAAAGGAGGACTCTGCTGTGTGTTTTTGATTTGCAGAATCCTATTTTATTTTGTTTTGTTTTGTTTTATTTTATTTTATTATTTTATTTTTATTTGAGAGACTGAGATAGCTACAGCAAGCATGAGTGGGGAGGAGAGGAAGAAGCAGGCTTCTCGCTGAGCAGAGCTTCCCCATACGGACTCGATTTTATGACCTGAGCCAAAGGCAGACGCTTAATCAACTGAGCCACCCAGGCACCCCGATTCACAGAATCTTTCCTACGAAACTGTCTGCCCCTCCTGCCCTGATCTGAGCTCAGGTAGCCTGCAGGTGACCTAAGCCCCATCACAGAGCAGTCTTCGAATATGACGCTGACACCGAGCATTTCCTCCCTTCTCCCAGGGGCCTCCTCATCCACAGTCTAGTGTTTTTCCTCTCCAATTCCTATCACTCTGTCTTCGGGGAACCCCGATGCCCTGAGCTCTAGCCCCTTTGCTGGGCTGGGAGGGTACTGGGGGCAACGGAGGGGGCCCCTGCTCGCTCCTCAGCCCTCAGGCCTCATGCTGGCCTTGGTTGGTCCAGGGGTGTAGACCAGACACTGGTGGAGACGTAGCGTGGAGGCCCCACAGACGTGCTGCTGTTCAGCGGATGGAGGTTTGAGCGGGATCCATGCTTTTTAGGGGACGGTTAATTACTATATGGGGCCCCCGGTAACCCTGGGATGGATCTATGAAGATGGGTTGATTTCTGAGCTCTTCAGCCTGACTCTCTCCTGTGCGTGTTGTGCTCTGGGCTCTCTCCGGGCAGCCCCTCAGCTGCCATCTCTGCTCCCTGCCTTGAACCGTCACCCTGCAGGTCATCTCTTGCTGGAATACTCTATACACTCAGCCCTGCTCCTCGTGAGAGCAGCTGGGGATGCCTCCTGAGTGCTGGGCTTGGGTGGGTGGTAACCCCCCCTCCCCCGGAAGGGTCAGGAGCCTCCTGCACCCATTAGGACAGGCAGTGACTTGTGTTTCCTGAAAGGTGTTGGAAAGGCATGACTATTGCATGGGTCTCAGCAGTTTGCCCAGCTGGGGGAGCCCGTCTGCTCTGCAGCCTGCTGGCTTTGTAGCTAGAGGGTCCTGGCTCCTGCTGTGGGCAGGTTTGTTCTGCTGAGGGGGGTGCATCAGGCTCAGAGGGAGCTCGCCGCCAAGAACCCAGCAGGTCAGAGATGAAGCTTACTCCTGGCCCTGCCTCCTTCCTGGACCTCAGTTTCTCCATCCATGCGAAGGGGTACAGCAGGTGTGTGGCTGCCCTCCAGGAAGGGCGTCCTGGACGAGGAAGGTTTGGCTTCTCCCTGGGACCCTGAGCTCATCCACGTGGCCTTGATCCCAGAGCAGTGGCCAGGCCTCCTCCTCCTGAGAGCAGAGCTGCATGCACCGCCTGCATGTGGCAAGGGCAGGAGGACGGGGTCCCAGACGCCCTGTGGGCACACACACACATTTAACAGGAGGGGGAGCCCCATCTCTCAGGCTGCCCCTGACACGCCTCAGCTGGGGTGCAGCTCACCCATCACTGGGCCTCAGACTTCCCAGGACTGTGAGTAGTTACCCCATTTATGGTTATAGGAGCGTTTGGCAGCACAAGATGCTTGCCCTTGTGCCAGACTCAAGGCGCAGACTGCATGGGGGATCGGGGGGCTGTGTCCTTGGGCTTTGTGGGGTCTGTCTGGGTCCATCCACCTGGGGGGAGGCTGCTGGTCCTATGTGCAGCCTCCAGACGCCAGCGCTGCCTCTGCTCCCCATTTCTTTGTTAGCTTTGAGGCCTCCTGGCCCCGCAAGAGGGACCTGGCTTCCCAAGCCCCCCTGGAGCCCCCTCCCCATGCAGGCCGCCATGTGTGCTCCCCCTCCTGCTCTCCGAGAGTGCTGTGGGAGCGTTACTCTTGATGTTTGTGACATTCTGTCCTCCTCCTGTCTTCAGGTGGGGACCGTGGGGCTCAGTGGCTGGGAGCCTTGGCCCCGTCCCCATCCCACTCTCCGTGTCCCGTCCGGGCCCTTTGTGCTCCTGACCACAGTTGGGATGAAGCTTGGTGCTCGTGGGCCAGTGCTGGCCAGCCCGTGCCAGCCCACGGCCCGTCTGCTTCCTGGACTCTGAATCATGACTTCTAGGAAGCGAATCCAACCTGACAGCTGCCGGGTTGGAAGAGCTAAAGTTCTTGTGTTGTGTTTGAGACGAGTGTGAAGTCACGTGCCTGTTTGTCAAATGAGCCGTTCTTTTCCATGGAGTTCTACAGAGTTAGCACTAGTGGGGCTTGTTGGCTCGTTTGTCCATTGTCTGACTTACTGTGCCTTTTTGAAAGAAAGCATTATTGGGACCACACATTTCCCCCACGTAAAGCATACAATTCAGTGGTTTCCACTGAATTTCACTGAGTTGTGCAGCCATCACCACAACCAATTCCAGAACATTCCATGAGCCCCAAAAGGAGTCCCATCCCCATCAGCAGTCATTCCCTGTCCCCTTGGCGGCCCCTGCAAGCCCCCTTCCCGTCTGTGGAGAAGCCCGTCCTGGATGTGTCACACATGTGGAATCACACACCGTGGGGCCTCCTGTGTCTGGTTCCCTCCCTGAGCATCGTGGGCTCAAGATCTGTCCTGGTGCAGCGCATGTTGGCCCCTTGCTCCTATTCACACCCAGTGACGTGCCCACACATGGGGGGCACATTGCATTATCCGTTCACTTGGATTGTTTCCACTTTTTGGCCATGAACGTTTACCTTGAGGACCTGCCTGTGCCTTCCCCCGGAGGTCGCCCTGTTTCCCGTCCCCAGCAGAGAGTGTCCCAGGGCCCGGTTTCCTCCCCGTCCTCATGGATACCTGTGGCCTTTTAGCCCCTGCCTGTTGTCGTAGCAGGTGTGAAGTGGTGTGGCACTGGGGTTTTGATAGGAGATTTCCTGCTGGTTAATGATGTTGAGCATCTTTTCACGTGCTTGTGATCCGGGTACATCTTGTTGTGGAGAAACATCCATTTAGACTCTTTCCCCATTTTTTAATTGGGTTATTTGTTTTCTTGTTGTGTGTGTGTGTGTGTTTTAAGATTTTATTTATTCATGAGAGACATACAGAGAGAGAGAGAGAGAGAGAGAGAGGCAGAGACACAGGCAGAGGAAGAAGCAGGCCCCATGCAGGGAGCCCGACGTGGGACTCGACCCTGGGTCTCCAGGATCAGGCCCTGGGCTGAAGGCGGCGCTAAACCGCTGAGCCACCCGGGCTGCCCTCCTGTTGTGGTTACAAGAGATCTTCAGAGAGGAGACAAGTCTCTTACTTGGTAGATGACCGTGTGTATTTTCTCCGGTGCCATGAATTCTCTCCTTTGCTTTCTTGATGCTGTTTTTTTAAAGCACAGAAGTTTGACTTAGATGAAATCCAATTTATCTGTTTTTGTGTTCCTTGGTTGCTTGTGACTTGTGCTTGTGTCTGGGCTTCTGCTAGGGCTCGCCTTGCCAGGACCAACCACTCGTTCAGGGACCTGTGACATGGAGGGTACGAGCGGGAGGTGGGGCTGCGTGGGCTTGGGACGGAGAGACTGCTGATGCTCACTAAGCATCTCGGCAGGCTGGGAGGGTTCTCCAGGGGCCAGAAAGTGATTGGTGTGTATTTTATGAGCTCTCATGACAAGATGGGACCTGTTTGTGGCATTAGGAATAGGTGAGTCGGGCGGGGGCAGGCGTTCTGGCCTCGTTTGCCTGGTTCCGAAAGCTGTCCCTGTCTCCTCTGGCAGACGGTGCCAGAAGGGCTGTTTTGGCACCTTTGCTGAGCTAGCTCCACTCCACGATTGTCTTCCTCCTTCCGTGTCATTGACTTTGAGGCACGTTAATTATTCATGACCAAACCTCAGCCTTCACAGCATGGCCTTCACTGCCTGTGATTAATGCACAGTTCAGTGTGGAATCCGGAGAAAGTCCTGCCCGACTGCCTGGCCCAGGGCGAGGGGCCGGTGTCTCAGGGTGGGTTTCAGAGGCTGGGGCCAGCAGGTTTGGGGCTGACCACTAGCCCTCGGCCCTCTGTGGGGCTGCCCCCTGGCCTTCCTGTGCTCCTGCCCCTGGGGGTGGCCAGGGCCCTGGGGTGGCCGGCCGCCAACCGTGTGCTTGCGCCGCCCTGCAGGATGTGGCCCAGTGGAACATCGGGAGCCTGCGGACCATCCTGGACATGGTGGAGCGTGAGTGTGGCACCATCATTGAGGGCGTCAACACCCCCTATCTGTACTTCGGCATGTGGAAGACCACCTTCGCCTGGCACACGGAGGACATGGACCTGTACAGCATCAACTACCTGCACTTCGGGGAGCCCAAGTCCTGGTGAGCGTTCGGCCTGTGGCCAGGCTGCGGGGAGGGGCTGCGGACGGGCTCATCAGGGGCCAGGCAGGCCTGGGGGTGCCTTTGGGTGGCCCCTTGGGAACATGGTGGGGCCTATGGCCGGGCAGGCAATAGCTGAGGGATGCTGGCTGCTTGAGATCTGTTGGCCTCGCCCCTGTTGGCCTCAGGGGCAGCCTCGGTTGCTGATGGAGGGATGCGCATCTCCAGAAAGGAGCTTCCTGCTCTCACCTGTGGGGGTGGCACCCTCAGAGTGTCTGTTGTGCGGGGTCTGTCCCTGGGGCCCCGGGCCCTGGACGTCCCTCGAACCTCCCCTGTTAGCAGCCTGCCCCCTGCTGGTTTGCAGGGCTGGAGTGGGCGAGTGCCCGGAAGGCCCCTCTGAGAGCAATGGATGGGCCCTGCAGGCGGGGTTGAACGTTCGGTGCGATCCGCGTTCTGGAATCTCTGAGCTGAGCACCCGCTGCACACCAGCTTCTGCTGCTGGGACAGCCGGGAGCTGCCTTCTGTGCAGGCCGCCTTTGCTCTGTTTCCAGCAGAGATTTCTGAGCTGGGCCTTTACATCTCCTTGCCTCTTCCCAGCTGTCTTAGAAGCTTCTGTTACAGTAATCATTGCAGCTCAGGGGAGGCAGGAGGCCCGGGAGACTGTGGCACTCGGGAGCTCAGCCCAGGGCCTTTGTGTGTTGAGATGGGGGGGCGGGGAGGCCCCCACCTAGCTGGGGACCCAGGCAGACCCTGGCTAAGGTGCCGTTTACCTTGGTGTCCCAGTGGACAGCTGACCCCCACAGGCATGAGGGAAGGCCACCCCTGCTCCCTCTAAGTCTCTGGGACATCCTAGAGCTCTTTGCTGGGCGGGGGGGGGGGGGGGGGGGGGTTGCGGCACTCTGAGGAGGAGGCCCCAGGTGGGAAGCCAGGCCTCCCTGAGCAGGTGGTGGCTATGTGACCACCCTTCCCTCCCCTCGGAGGTGGACGGAATGGAGCCCCAGCCCTGTAACCTGGCAGTGGGCTCCTGCCTTGCGGGGGGTGCAGAAGCACTGGGGACGAACAGTGCAGGGGCTTCGTAGGCGTTTCCCGGGGCTGCCATAGCAGTGACCACAGACTAGAGGCTTAACACAACACACATGTTCTCTGATGTTTCTGGAGGTCAGGAGTCTGACTCTGGTCTCACTGGGGCTAAACACAGGCCTGAGCAGGGCGGGTCCCCCCCGGGGCCTTTTTCCACTTCCAGAGGTGCCGGCTCCCCAGCCTGCGGCCCCTCCTCCACGGAACCCAGGGTCACCCCCACCTCGGGGCCTTTACTTAATCCCACCTGCTAAGTCCCTTTACTGTGAGGTGACATACTTACGAGTTCTGGTGATTAAGACGTGGGTCTTTGGGGCCGTTACCCTGCTGGCCACAGGCCTTCTGACCTTTGTGTTGTGCCACATTGTTACCTCGTCGGTCTGCTGAGATCCTGTGAGAATTCCACCGGCTTCTTGCTTTCATTCCACTTGTCTCTGTGGTCTGTGGCTGTGCAGAGGCTCTTGATCATCGAAACCTCTAGCTCGGAGAGATTTACCTTCCAGGAAAAATTTGGAGAGAGATTGACGGGGTTGGTGATGACCATTGCACAAAGGCCTGAATCTCAGCCCCCTTGTGGTCCTGAGCACATGAGTGGAGGCAGGTTCTGGTAGGCAGTGTCACCCCAGTGCTGCCCAGGAGGTCGCGGGGATGGCTCTGTGACCCCATTCCCCACCCCTCCCATGACCTGGCCAGGCTGCAGCTCTGTGGAGACCCCTGTCGAGGCCCATGGAGACGGCTGCCCTCTGCCCCGGCCCCACATCTGTGAGCAGGGCCTGGCGGTGAGGCTTGTGGGGTGAGGTGTATGTGTCCCTTCCCTGGGGGCCGTGGCAGGATGAGTGCAGGTGAGGAGCCTCTGGCTCCCCATACAGTCCACAGGCTGGGGCTGTGTGCACGTGTGTTTGCACATGAATGTGAGAGTATGTGCGAATGTGTTTGTGTGTGTGCGTGTATATGAAGATATGTGTGTGTGTTTATGTGCACACCTGTTTGTGTAGGTGTAGGAGTACACATGGATGTGCTTGTGAGTTCATGTGTATACGTGTAAGTGTGCGTCGTGTGTGTGATGTATGAGTGTGTGTGCTGTGGTCCCAGCTCACTGGTCTGCAAGGTTCCTAGTGCTGCCCCCTCCCCCCGGGGCTGGCAGTGGAGGGAGGGGGTGTCTGTGTGTCTGTCCCCCCAAGGCCACGTCCCAGTCCTGGCCCCACGTGGCTCCCACAAGCGCCACTAGATGGCGCCCCGACCCTTCAGCACTGGCTGCTGCTCCCTCCGCCGGTGGAAATTTCCTGGGTTCTTCCATCCTTTCTGTGGACTCCTGGCTTAGCAGTGAAGGCCCCAGAGGCTCCCTGGGAGCAGCAGCAGGAGAGTGCCGACTGCCGGAGTGGGCGTGGGAACACTCAGCCCCTCCGCGGATGCCCACGTGTTGGCCCACGTCCACCAGCTGGAGGGATCAGAAAGCGAGAAAACCACCTTTTCTTTAAAACAGAACAAAACAAATAAAAGGAGCCACTGCTGAGTCCTGGCATGCACCAGCCAGAGGCAGGTAGAGCTTCAGCCATGGCCCTGCCTGAGGAGAGGGTGGCCTCGGGCCACTTGGGGCAAAGCCTGTGCTTGTGGCGGCCAGCAAGGGTCACGGGGAGGGTGACTTGGGAAGTGGCCTGGGAGCCCAGGGAGGCAGCTGGTCCCGGCCAGTGCCCAGAGCGGGGGCTGGCTTGGAGGGAGGCGAGGGAGATGGCAGTGGGAACATGAGGGTAGCAGCCCCTGGCTGACGGGGCGGCTTGGGGTTCTCCAGGCCACAGCCCCAGCACCCCAGTCCCCTGCCGTCCACCCTCCCCTATGTCCACCTCTTTGCCACAACCCACTCCTGAGAGCCCTGGGGCAGTAGTCAGCATGGCTGGCATCAGGCACAGCAGTGGTTCATTCAAGGGAAAGAATGTTCCAGAAGGCATCTTAACTTTGGTCTTGGTTCCTGGTCCTGAAGGGGGATGGGATTGCACACGGGGGTGCTGACTGAATGTGGCCTGTGGGAAGCGGCTTCTCAGGGTGCAGCTGTGTAGGGTCGGCTGCCAAGGCTTCCTGTCCTCCTGCGCCCCCCCCCCCCCCCCGCAAGCTCCCTGCTCCCCAGCCCCAGTAGCTCAGCTCAGGTACCATGCCCTTTCCCCGGGACCTGGGTGGGGGCCCCAGGTGTTGGCACCGCACCCCATGCTCATACTAGCTCCGTGTGACTTTGGTGAATCTCCCTGTACCCTGTGAGGGCTGGGCCCTCGGTCTCCTCCCCTGTACCCCCCCGCCGGGTCCCTAGCCCCCAGCAGGGGCCTGGCCGAGAGGGGCCTCTGTGCCTGTCCGGGTGCCGGTAACATCTCCATGGAAACTGGTTCTCAAGGCCGAGACCCCGGGGGTGGGTGAGGTGCCTCTGGTTCCTGGACTGGGGTGGCTTGGGGGGCTGCTGTGTGGCACCCCTGCTCCTGGCCCTTGCCCGGGGCCCTGGGGGCTGCTCCCCGCAGACGGCGCTCACGTGCCTGTCTCCCTGACTGCGTTGTGCCTCTTGCGTCTGCAGCAGCTTAATTGCAACCATTTCCGAGTATTTCGGTAGCAATTTTTTTTTTTTTTAAGTGTCGACGTCCTCAGGTTTACAGCGTTTTATGAAGCCTTTCTGAGTCTGTTGCTACTTTGGTAGTGTGATTTGTGTGTCACAGCGGCATGAACAGCCTGGTGTCGATAAAAGCGTGGAATTGCTTCAAAAGGCCGGCATTAGGTGGTGCTCTCAGGCAGCAAGGCTAAGAATATCTGAAGCGTTTGAGAGCTTCAAAATCCCTTTTGAGATGGGGATTTAAAATAGACCTGGCACTTGCAACTCAGCCTTCCCGGGGCCCGGTGGGTCAGCGAGTGGGCCTGGGCACGCGGGGACGGCCGTGAGATTCTACACGGATTCGGTGGTCAGGCCGCAGGGCCGTGTCGGGGGGGGGGTGCTCAGCATCCGGGGAGTGGAACTGCCATCCTGGGGCCACTCCACCAGCAGCCCTCACAGCCACTCCCGCACTACCTAGGCCCTAGGCCCTGTGACTCGGGTGGGGAGATACAAGACGTGGGAAAGACCCCCCCCACCTGGCCTGGCTCGTTGCTCAGATGCAGCAGCGCACACAGCGTTCCCGGCAGCATCGCCTCCTGTTCTCCCTGCGGCTTCCGGGTGCGCGGGGCGGGGCCGGGGGGAGGTGGAGGACAGGCCTCCCAGAGGTGGGGACAGCCAGCACTCCCTGCAGGGTGTTTGCCTGGGCCCCAACCTTGGCCCTCAGGCCCATGACTCAGCAGCATCCCCTCAGAGCTGTGTCCCAGCAGTTTTCTCGCAGTTTCCACAGCGCCCCCCCCCCCACCCGACTGCTCCCGTTTGCCTGGGGTGCGGTCTTTCAGGTCCTCCTGGGCCCCCGTGGCAGGGAGCACGTCCTCAGATGCACACGTGTACCATAGGCCTGCCTGTGTGCGCATGTGCCATGCATGTGCATTCACTCGTGCACGCATGTGCACTCACACAGGCTCCCTGCAGGGGGGCTGGGGAGAGGGTGGCTCAGGTCATGCTCCCCCAAAGGGCATGGGGCCTGCTCTGCTCATGCACAGTCCTGGGTGCGATGAGTGGATCCTGCAGAGCAGAGGGGGTGAAGGGGGTGGTCGGGGGGATGGTACTGGAACTCCACCTCTCCGACCTTTAAGAAGCCGGGGTGTGCAGGGCACTGGGCGCACTGAGAATTTCTCCTTTTGATGCAGCCCCACCTAGGGTTTCTCTTTGGCGCTTTCCCTCAGGGGGGTTCCTCGGGAGAGGGCCTGGGCGGCCTTTCCTTTGTTGCGGGGAAGCCTGACTCCCTGCGGGCTCAGGCATCTCCGCCCGCGCATGCACAAGTGTGGAACATGCACAGTGTGTGTGTTGCACGTGTGGG